AATAATGTTCTTGCCAACTCTAAACAAACAGCGGTTTACTTTGGCTGACAGGACAGTGAAAACGTGTTGTGTTGCTTGCAGGGCCGTGGCAGCAACACGGTGGGAGTCACCTCCCTGGCTCTGTCTCCATGGGACTCTGACACCTTCTTAGTGGGCTCTGAGGGCGGCCTGCTGCTCAGATGCTCCTTCTCCTCCCAGACGCCGGCTGCAGTGCCCTCAGAGGGCTGGAGTGTGGCACTGAGAGCCCCAGCAGTCTTCTCTTTCAGGCCTCACAGCGGCCCCGTCCACTCCATACACTGCTCCCCATTCCACAGGTGACCGCTTTCTTACAGGATGACACAGGATCATTGTAGAAATATTCTATGGTGGTTTTACAGGTTACTCTGTCCTGGGTGAACTTTGTCATGTGGTGTTTACAGGAACCTGTTTGTGAGTGCTGGGACTGATGGTCAGGTCCACCTTCACTCTTTGCTGCAGCCCAGCCCGCTGCTCTCTCTCAGGGTTTCAGACTCCTACGTGTTTCAAGTGCAGTGGTCCCCAACTAGACCACTGGTTTTTGCTGCAGCCACTGGACAAGGTACAGCATCACAACTGTGTTATGATGATGTACGTGATTTGTAGTGTTTATGGCTTCACAGTTGAATTTACAGATTCTGCTCATTCCAAAATTGGAGTCATCATCTGTTTATTACATACTACCTCTACGGTCACTCATCAGATCTGAGCATGCTTTGTAACACTTGTATTAATAAATCAAGCAGTTTGGAGGGGACAAAAAAAAACTGTAAAATGGATGGTTTTCTGACTGACACTCAACATTTCTTTCCCAGGCGAGGTGCAGATTTTCGACCTGGGCCGCAGGTCTCCAAAAGCAGCAGCCATCATTGGACAGGGAGGTGCAGGTCAAGCTGCAACTTGTTTTGCCTTCAACCGTCAGAATCCTCACCTCTTAGCAGTGGGGAAAACAGACGGGACAATCTGCATTTGGCAGCTGAGCACTGATTTGACGGACCAGAGCTCCAGAGAGAGCAGCCAGCTGGAGCAGATTGCCAATCAAGTGGCAGAATGAGACGTTATTTGTAACAGATAAAACTGCATCGGACTGATGGCTCCCTGTCAGAAAAGTGCTGTATTTAAAGTGTGGAAGTGAAATAAATACAGAGTACAGGTTTCCAGTTCTAACCAGTAGCGTTTATTAAAGCACACTGCAGTTGTTAAGGTGTTGTTACAACATTGTTACTATTAGGTTCTTAAATTCATCAAAAGCTCAAGCTAAAACAGCTAAAAACAATCACATTCAAATGTAGACAGATCCACTATGCTATCATGAGAAGCACAAAGAGTTAAGGGTAGAGCGAGATAAATAGATAGTAAAGATATTTGTTATTGGTGAATATTCCTAGTGCCACAATCATGCAGTTTCAGCCGTGTGTTCCCGTTGAAGTGTGTGTGGAAAAACGCATCCCGATTGGTCACTGGTGGGCGAGGGATCAGTTGACGAAGAGCGAGCGAGTGAATTCCACGAAGTCGAAGGCTGACGGCAGCTCGCGGCCCTTGCTGTCGAGGTAGGGCTTCATGTGTGAGAGGCAGTAGTCGGCCTGCTCCTTGGTCAGGTTCTGAAAGGAAGAAGAGAACAGTAAGACCTCCATGCAGGCCTGAAGCTGAATGTTCACTGAGCAGTGAGCACATCTGACCTGGTAGAGCTCTTCTTTAGTGACGTAGGGTTTGTTCTCAGTGCTGAGGGCGAGGAAGGCGCTCTCGATCTCCTCGCTGGACTTGACGTTCTCTGTTTCACGGCTGATCATGAATGCCATGTACTCCTGCAACGACACGTTTCCATCCCTGCAGACAGATTGCTTGGAGTTAGGCAGCAGATACGACTGTGCACCAAATACCAACAACCATTACAGCTGTGTAAATGCATCAATGTCATTTCCTTCATAACAGAACCTGGGATGGACAAAAATGATAACTCGGGGATGCTGAAGAAAGTGGCAGAGCGGCTTAAACATTCCTAAGTCAATGAAAAACTGTAAGATACAATATTTGTAGGAGGATATTCAGGAAAAAGGAAGAAATGACAAGTCCTTTATAAAAGATATTTATCGACTATGTTAAAGTAAAAACGTTTGGCATTGTGCTCAGGCCGCCTTTGTTGTCACTCTGTTCTGTGACCCGTCAGATTCTTTGATCTGTTGCAGTTCAAATCAACTTGCTGATGCACTAACAATTTATTTGATTTAAATTCCCAAAATAATAGAGAAAAAAATAATATGGATTCAGACTGAATGAAGCAATCTCAAACGTGTCAGACCTGTTGGGATCCACAGTGTCCAGTATGGACTCGAACTCAGGATCAGGTTCTCCTTCTTCCACCATGGGCAGGTCGTAGCCGAGTGAGCGCAGACACGACTTGAACTCCTGATGGTTCAGACGTCCTGACTTCTCCTTGTCGAAATGCCTGCAAAGTAACACAAAGATGAGGATTTGACTTGGACCAAACACAAAGAGAAGTCATGGTAATGTCAGGGGAAATCCACTTACTTGAACATCATGCTGAACTCTTTCAGAGCCTCCTCTGTCACTCCAGTTGTGTTTCTGAGAGAAGGAGGACGAACATGAGCATAAAGCAGCATCAACACAGCTTTCATATTTCTAGCAGTACTCCCTGAATAGTGGGTTTGAATGCCACAGTGTACCTGGCCTGTATTTGTTGCTCCAGATTGTGTTGCATCCTCATTCCGAGTTGGTCCAATTGGTCCCACTGCTGGGCCAGACCCACTGTGCTGTGCTCTGTGTACTTGTTGTCCAGGATCAGTGCTTCCTCCATGGCTGCACCCAAGTCTTCAATTTTCTTCAGCTGGCTGCGCATGGCCCGGATCTCCTGGTGCTTACGCTAAATACACAAACACACATCAACAAAACATGACACATGGTGTCTTACTGCTCAGCGTGTTGGCATTACTGATTTTAATGTGTGTTGATGTCTATCTGGTGAATGTGGCTGTTGGATGGGCCATAACATATATACAGTGATATTTACCTTGGTGGCCTCCAGCTGGGACTCCAGGGTACCAGACTCTTCCACCATACACGACCTGACACCAACACAATCTCATTAGACACGAAGCAGCACAGTCTGGATAACTACTGCACACACACTGACACACACCGTTATTAGGAAGACACACATCCTTTTACTCCATCCAGTGTTCCAAAGAAGCCTTTCTCAGCTATAAATGAAATAGTGTTTGCAGTGTACTGGTTCTATAGTATGTAATTTGACTGGTCACTACTGTGATGAAATAATTTTTGGAATGACATTGGAAGTGGACCTTACAGTGCTGTCTTCATAGAGCAGAGCTGCATTCATGCTGAAAGTCTACTTGTAACCGAAACCATGCAAGGTTAGGGCTACTGCACACAGGAGTGGAAACTGCAGCCTGTCATTAGTAGATCATGAATATGAGAGCCAGTATTCTGTTACAGAAGATGATGTGCACCCAGAAGTCATTGCACAAAGATAAAATCACAATGACCCAATGGAAACGAATTGCAGACTACTAACCTTGCACTAATTATAATATGTGTATATATACACACACACAATGGAAGTCAGTGATTTGCAGTTTTCATTCCTGAAGTACACACAGTAAACAGGGACAACTAGTCAGCCTACTGTTTGAAAGCAGTGCTGACTGCAGCCCGGTGCTTTGAGTTAGAGGACTGGGTGATGTATGTTAGTACAGCAGGAAGGTGCTGAGTACAAAGGGGCCCAACATGGTGTTTTTAGACTAAAGTGCATGAGGTCACACAGCCCTGAGGGCACTGCGTGGGTCAGAAAAGCAAAAGAAAACAGAGCAAGGCTCGAAAGAGGTTGACCTTCCAGAAAGATCATCAGCAACTTGGTACTGATAGACACAGATAACCCGTCGATACGCTATGCTATTCAGAGAGAGGATGGGTGGGGGGGAGACCAGAGAATAAACATCAGACAAGGAAACAGAAGGAAAACATCTACATCAGGAAGAGAAGAGGGTGATCGTTTCAAAACCACACCCACCTTTGATATGAGAGTTACCTTCATCATCATATCCAGCACTGTTTTCACACAAACACACACACATTTATTCAAATGCATAAAAAAAGAAAGTAATATTAACCCATCCAGAAGATATGTCCTGAATAGCACAGCAATCCCAAGCACCAGCGAAGAAGCAGCCACGAGGAAGGAGGGGAGAGAGAAACAAATACATGTTAACAATATGATGTGACAACTCACTGCAGGCAACCCCCAGTGAACATGATTTGTGCTGAGATTCTTCACATATACCAACAAGGCAGAAAGCAACTTCACACCAGTTATAATCTGTTCACAGTAACTTTAACGGGAAGTCTTTTAAAAACATGTTTTAAAAATGCAAATAACAGTCACAAGCTGACTGCTTCGGTTTTTCCAAAGGTTCTTGAACTAATCGTGTACGACGTGCAGTTTTTTTTTTTGGTAAAATTGACCAAATGTGAGCTTAAAAGCTTAATATTTTACCAAAATCAATTTATTATATGAGTCTCATTTTAAAAATTGACAAAAATAAACCGTTTTCAGATTCTGTAAAAGACAAAAAAAATCTGTGCCCATCGATGCAACATACTACACAAATGACAAGTTTTCGGTGTGTCTACTTCTAGTGATGCTTTGGTTATTTCAATAGTGCTGCAGGACTTCATTTTGCAGTAAACAACAAGGCCACAGTGGGTGAAAATGCCTCAAGAGCAATAAACGGCCAGAAATTTCTTGAGGTTCAGACTATGTGAAAGAAGAACTGTGGCAGACTGTAAAAACCTCATCCCAAGTTGTACAAAGACTCAGTTTGACGAACATGTCCTCTACCTGGTCTCTTGTAGCCACTGGTGGAAAGCGTTGGCATGCTGCGCAAACTCCTGACGCAACTTGTCGTTTTCTTCTTGCCTCCTCTGCTCCTTCTGCAACTCCAGCTCTCGCTCCTACATACATTTACACACAGAGGACAAACACATACCAACAAGATAAACTGCACTGAAAACAAATGACAAAATACTCTCGTATTCTCATAAACTTGTGCTCAGATTGTATTTAAAAATCACAGAAAGTGATTTCTATAGCCCCTTTCAGGCCTGGAATGTGTAACATTGCTTCAATAATCTATTAAAGTTACGGCATTTTAGTTATGCAGACATGGGTCACGTTTCCATGAATGTTCCTCACCGCCTCATGCAGAAACAGTCTCTAAAGTATCTGTCATTCACATGAGATTAAATAAATGGTAAATGGTCTGCACTGACACAGTACCTTTCTACTTTAGTGGTACTCATATCATGATGTACTATAATGCAATAGCAGAAAAAATTCTTAACTCATAGCAGCTTCTTAAACTGCTTAGTTTATTTCTGATTTCTTTCCGTCTTTATTTCTAAACAAAATATGTAGCTGCAGCTGATAGACTTGGCTTACACAGTGTGATCTGCAGTCGGTTCCTGGACTGGACTGATCCACTCTCCATGCTCTATCTGAT